TTCTTGGCCTTGTTTCCTCCTTGTCTCTCACAGAAGGACAATCTATGTCCATATTTGTTATCCACAGTACCTCAGATAAGAAGTCCTGAGTGAAGGTTTGTATTTGTTAGTGGAGACAGCAAAAGACTGAAAACCCTGCACACAAGAAGTCCCTTACATAAGGAAACGTGTGGGTATACTCCCAAGGCTGGGAGTATAGCCCCTTCCCAGCAGCTCGCTTGGTAGACGAAAAGACACGGGCTTTCCAGTCACAGGTCTCGACTGGCCATAAACTGAGACACCTGGCAATTTTTCTAACCTGTGACTCTAAAAGGGGCTGAAAGTTACCACCTCACAGTGACTTGCACAGATTAATGTTGAAAATGTGCATAGAGGCAACATGAGGGGCGAAATAGAAACCAAGCTACTAGTTCATTTCTGTTTTCCCCAACTACCTCACTCCAGCCGCCTTCAGATTCTGGAAATGCAATCTGCTTATATAATGTTTTCCCCTCTAAATGTGAACTATGTGAATTCCGGGTTAGTGAAGACAGGCCAGACTTAACGGGCTTATTTTCCTTAGGCTTTCTACAAAGTGCCCACAAAATTTCCAAAGTTCATAAAGACTTCCAATTAATCTTCCCCTAATATATATTTGAGAGCAGAATATATGTAACCCATCTTTGTACCCCAGTGCTTAGCACAATGCCTGGTATATAAACACTACCTAAATTGTGAATAAGTACATGACTTGCTCAAATCTTAAGATATTAGTTCTTTTCTTTTTTTAAAAAAAAAAATGTTTTTTTTTATTTCAGAAAGAGGAAGGGAGAGGGACAGAGACAGACATGTCGATGAGAGAGGAACACCAATCAGCTGCCTCCCACAAGCACCCCCCCACTGGGGATGGAGCCAGTAACTGGGACATACGCCCTGACTGGGAATTGAACCAGTGACCTCCTGGTGCATGGGTCAGCACTCAACCAACTCAGCCACATGGGCCAGACAAGGTCTTGGTTCTTAAAGACTCTCCTTTGGCAGGAAAGAGACAAGCAAGTTACTAAATTATAACAATACAATCTTGAAAGAATTACAATAGTTATATCAACAAAATGCAATGGAAACATAAAGGGCAGAACTAATTTTGCCAAGGGTATATGGGACAGCTTGGTGGAGAACTGGTTAATCACTGTAACAATAAAAATAACACTAACATGTATCAAGGGCTTACCATATGTCAAACAATATTCTAAGCTATACATATATATACACACACACATATATAAATTCATTTTACCTTACCAAATAACTATATGAAATAGATACTATTTTTCCCATTTTACAGATAAGAATGGTGAGGCACAGAGATGTTAAGTAACTTACCTAAGTCATGTGCTGTAAGATGCAGAGGTAACATTTAAACCCACACTTTAAAGAAGGGAGGTAATTCATGGCAGAGAGAACAGCATATCCAGTCCCTAGGTGATAAAGGAGCCTGTCTAATTGTGATATTTAGTCCCAACATAGCACTGCAAAGAGCAGGGGAGCAAAGGAGGCTTGTACCCCAGAAGCGACACATGGTATATGGCTGCATTAAGAAACAGCATGACAGGGTGGATAAGACAAACTCCCAAGGTCCTTCCAAATGTGAGCTGTGTATCACTGGGCAAGTTACTTAAGATCTGTATTTCTCAGCTTTCCTATCTGTAAAACAAATAATAGCTATCCCAGAGGGTTGTACAAAGGATTATGTTACTATTGTAAAGTAATTAGGACATTGCCTGGCATATAGTTCCATAAAAGTGCTTGCTAAAATAAGCAAACAAATGAATACTTAAGGTGGGAGACTACGGAGAGGTGCTGTTGCAATATGTCAGGTAAGAAATGAAGGCCTAACTAAGCAGTGATAGTGGAGATAAAAGGAGATTCAAATAAGAAATCTCTCAGGTAGAACAAAAGTATTTGGTGGGCATTTAGATTTTGATGGGAGCAGGGTAATGATGCAGGGTAGTACATAGGAAAATCCCCAAGAGCACCCTAACCTCTGACACCAACTATAAGGTCAGGGTCCCCAAGACCACTTTCAGGTTTCTTATTACCTAGGAAGACACACAGAACTTACTGTTACATTCATGGTTATAGTTTATTACAGCAAAAAGGTACAGATTAACAGTCAAGGTAAGAGATGCATGATGCAGAATCAGAAAAGTTCAAAGCATGAAGCTTCCAGCTGTCCTCTCCAGTGGAAACATGGATACGGATAACTTTTCCTTGCATTAATGTGTGATAACACGCATGGGAGTACCACCAACTATGGAGGCTCACCAGAACCTTGGTGTCTACATTTTACTGGGGCTCAGCCATACAAAGACGATTGACAGCCCATGTGACTGATCTTTAGTCTCCAGCCCCTTCGGAATTTAGAAGTCAAAGGTCAAGGGCCCAGCTACTGTCCTGACCCATAGCTCTCAGCGTCTGTGTGGCCCAAGCCCCCAGGTAAATAAAGACACTCTTAAGTGAGACATGCCAAGGGCTTAGAGACCACCTCCAAGGAGCTAAGGGCAAATCCAGACCTGTTTTGGAGTAAGAGTCACTCTTTACTACAAAGGTAGTGAAGGTGCGGAAAAGAAAGGAAACTAGATTGATGGCGATGCCTCCAATTGAGATAAAGTATGCAAGCAGCAAACACCACAGGCTTGGAAAGGAAAATAATAGTATGCTTTTGAGTTTGCCTGGTATAAAACTAAGTCAGGTTACCAGAAAACACTTAAAAGTGTGGGGCTGAAGCTTGGGAAGGATCTCACAGCTCGAAATTACAGCGTACTGAGGGAAGTTTAAAGTCATTCCATGAATGTGCTAATTGAAGAACACGCAGGCCAACAGGTAGAGCAAAAACTGAACCAGGATAAACTCCAACTTTAAAGGGCTGCTCAGAGGGTGACTTTGCAAGAAAGGTTATTAGAAAACAATAAAATTAAAATAAATACAAAATGTTCTCCTTTACCACAAGAAACTGACAATATTGAGTAAATTACTTTCAAGGTAGGATTAAAATACACTTGCCTTTCCCTAGAAGTAGGCTCTGCAAGCTACACTGCAAACAACATTATGTCTTGCAAATAAGCAGTTAAAAAACAAAAATATTTCTGTTCTTTTTTTTCTGCCTATGGTATTTTCCATGCTTTCTAAGCTAAGAAAGCCTTTATTTTGCCTATGGCAAATTTAGCACGTTTATGCAAAACTTAAATTACCATGAAAACCCAACAAAAAGGCAAATGAAGCAGAAGGCACAGCTAATTAAACGGATTTGAGGTTCACTGCTCATTTTGTTTAGGGTCAAGTAATAATTTATAAATTTGTCAGAGCACATTAAATACAAAAATAACTCATTACAGGGTATGGATAGCCAGAGTACTATGAAATCTAAAGACAATATACCTCTTGAAATTTTTTTTTCCAAATCATCCATGTATGCCTAATTACATCACAGGTATGAGAGGCATATAGAATAGAAGTTAGCAATGGGAGTTCTTGAACCAGAAAACCTGGGCACAAATCTCAGCCCTGCCACTTCCTAGATGAATGAACTTAGGAAATCCTGTTACTTAAACTCTCTGCAATTTCCTCAAGTGGAAAATGGGAAACAAACCTCATAGGTTCTGAAGATCACATAAAGTTAGTATTGGGTGGCGCATAATAAGCATGCAATAGGAATTTGGTTATTTTTCGTATCTTCGCATAATGACAACCTCATGAATCCACTTCACTATTCATTCTTTCTTATTTCTTCTCTGCGATAGAAAATACCCAAAAACCTAGTTTTGAAATAAAAATCACAACAATAAACTACATTTTCATAGTTCAGTATTTACGAGTTACAAAAACTGCTTAATCTGTTATAAAATTATCTCAGAATCACCTCAGACTTTATTAGCCAAGACTTAATCTCTTTGTTTTAAAAAGTGCTTAAAACTGTCCTTTGTAAAGAAGAAATTTTTATTGAGTTGACTCAAGAAGAGGTTAACCCAACAACCGTCTATCTTACCAAGTTCCAGACACTGTCTACAGCCACGTAACTTTTCTTCCCCGAGTAAAATGTACTGGGGTTTGGCCCCTAACTTCACAAGCAGTGCACTCTCTTCCCTCAGCTCAAATGCATGGCTCCTTTTGCCAAGGAAACTGTCTAAGTCACCAACACCTGGCTTCTCTTCAGGCCTCTGTTGGCACCATCAGGCTTTGTTAGAAAAGACCAGGAGCTCCTGTCTATATCTATCACGATACTTATGGAATTTGAGGTTTATGTAGTTTTAACCACACTCCTCCCTCCCCCATAAATACCAGACTAAAAGCAATGAACACAGGGACTGTCCTGCTCTTTGTATTCCTCAGGACACCGTGTGTTGTGTCAGAAACTCAATGTGAAGAGCCACAGAGTAATATTCTGACAAAAGGAAAAACTCACTAAACATACAAATCAAACATCCCTCACTTACTTCTATGGATTAAATGCTTGTTTTCTATAACACATTTAAAGAATCTATGTATGTGTGTGGGCGCACTCTTGTGTGTTCAAAACAGAGGCAGCCATAGACAGAGAAGAAGTATGATTACCAAAAGTGACTTTAACTAAGATAAAGCAGGGTTGGCTTTAAAGATATGCTGTGTTATCTTTTGAATTTCAGAAACTAGTCAAATATCCTCAAAAACTAGAAAAAGATTTTTCTGTTACAGTATAATTAATTTTGTCAAACTGGTGGGCATCCCTGTTTCAAAGATCAAAGCAATTGCTCAAGGCAAGGGCATAACAATTTTTGTTTACTATCACTACAAAGTTTTTTATCTCCCCTTATTATGTTCCTATGAACTAACCTATTTCCTCCTAGTTCTTCCCTTCAGTAGCCACCATAGGGAATGGCAACCAGGTTTAATTTCCTTCATCTTTCATCCTCACAGCACCCCTTCCCCCAAAAGGGTTTATTTCTTACTCTATCGAAAAGCATTGAGAGATGGATTATACTAACCTTACTGTATTCCAGGCATCTCCAAGTTCTTTGGAATATTGTTTTTCAAAATGATCCAGTACAACTTTGCAAATCTGTTTTGCAAGCTTCCTCTCTGATTTTGCTTTCAGCTATGATGATAAGAAAAAGTTGCTGACACACTCTGGTATTACAAATTTATTGAACTTCAACAATAGCAGCCTTCTTTCTTAAGAACACTTTAATTACTAATTCTTGCAATGGGAGCAGTGTTTCCCACAGAAGCAAACTGTATTACCATACTCTATCTCCTTATTTAAAAAAAAGTGTCTCTCCAAATGATTACAGCTCACATGTAAAGCAATGGAAAAAAGCAGAATCTAGTGGTGGTGTCACAGAAAGCCAACTTAAGTCAAAGGAACAACGTCAACTGAACTAAGTCGCTCCAGCTGTTAACAGCATACGGGAAGGGTGAAGAGCATACGGGAAGTCTGTATTATCTTTGCAACGTTTTGTAAATGTATAATTATTCCAAAATAAAGTTCACGTAGGAGAAAAGTCACTCTGGTTTCCTCGGAGACTTCCTTGCAATTCCGTTTCATTGACTCATCCACGCAAAGCTTATGGAGGGCCCACTAGGTAACAGGCCTTGTTCTAAGCGCCCAGGACAGAGCAGCGACAGGGGCAGTCCCAGCCCCCAGGAGCTGTCACTCTGCTCCAGCGGGAGGGCGCAGGCGCTCAAGTCTGCGCTCGGGGGGGGGCGCACCCAGGCCGCCGGGGCTCACCCAGGCCACCGGGGCGCACCCAGGCCACGGGGGCTCACCCAGGCCGCCGGGGCTCACCCAGGCCACCGCGGCGGAGGTGCGTCTCGGAAGGAAACCACAGGCGACGCTCCGCAGCCAGCGACCCGGGCGGTGCACCCAGAGGGAGCCGCAAGGTCCCTCATCCAGCCCTGCCTCCCCACCTAGGCCCTAAAATAAGCGTCCGGTTCTCTCAGAGGCGCCCGGCCGGGTCCCAGCCCTCACCCGGGTCAACATCCTCTAGCCAGGAGACGCCAAGCAAGCGGTCGACAACGTCCGACACCTAAGGCTCTAGGGAACCCAAAGAACAGGCGGACTTGCGAGTTTCGCGGGAATTTCCTTCCCGGCCGCCCTTTTCCGGCTCGACTTCTCGCGAGATACAGCTTCGCCTGCGTTATAGAAGTCTCGCCACGGAGGCCTAGGTCCCGCGAGAGGCACGCGCAAAGTTCCCGAGGTCCTGGGCCGGAGGAGGCGGCGCTCAGCGCCGGGGGCGTGGCCGGAGCCCGGCCGCCAGGCTGTGAGCTCGGGCGTCCGGCTGAGCTGGCTCCTGGGGCTCCGCGAAAAGAATGGGAATCTTTGTCACTATTAAGTTTTGTTGCATGATCGTTGTTTTAAAATGTTCTCAGAGGCGAAGCTGGTTGCTGAATTAATTTACCAAATCGTATGACGCCCCCGTTAGCCCAGATATTCAGAACTCAGGAGAAAAGGATGGAGTCGAAGAGCAAGAAATGAAGTCACGTTTCCTAGAGATGGCCC